GGGCAGTGCCTACCCTCCCATCCCAAGGCTGAGTCCTAGGGGCTCCCGAGTGCATGGCGGGGCCGGCTCCAGGGCAGTGCCTGCCCCCCATCCCAAGGCTGAGTCCCAGGGCCTCCCCAGTGCACGGCAGGGCCGGCTCCAGGGCAGTGCCTGCCCCCCCATCCCAAGGCTCAGGACTGAGGGGCTCCCCAGTGCAGGGTGGGGCCATGCCTCTCCTGCTTCATCCCAGGGCCCAGTCTTGGGGGGCTCCCCAGTATGGAGTAGGGCCAGCTCTAGGTCCGTGCTTGGACCCTCCCCCAACCCAGGGCCCAGTCTTGTGGGCTCCACAAAGCCCCACACACTGCTTCTACTTGGGCTCAGGCCCCTGGGCTTCCTTGATGAAAGTCAGGGCTAACAGCCCCCACAGCTACAGGCTGGTCCTAAGGGTGCCCCTCATTCTTGCCCACCCCAAAGCCCCACACCTATTGAGAAGGCGCCTCTTCAGGGAGGGGGTGAAGCGAGAAGCTGCTCCCAGGAAAGTTCCTGGAAACAGGGCCTCCCCCAGCAGCCTCCTGGAAGCACCCTGGGGACAAGGAGTCAGGGAACAGATGGGGATGGGCGACCCCTCCCCCCTCCACCCCAGAAGCCGAGGGACAGCGAGGCGACCTGCTTCTTTTCTATACTTCCTTGTTTGTCCTCTGTCCCAGGCCAACAATCTTGCATCACCCCTACAGAAAACTTAACCGAGGGCCAGAGAGAAGTCAGCTGTCACTGCCACAGAGCCAAGACTCCCACCACCCCAGAAGTGAAACTGAGGCCGAAGAAGTGGGCAGGGCTCCTCCCAGCCACAAAGCCCCCAGCGTTGTACCGGTGTTCAGGTGAGCTCCACAGGCCTCTCCCCAGCCCAGACGTCATGCTCCAGCCGTGTGAGGGAGTGCCCTTCAGCTATGGTGCCCTGTTGTCCTGGAACCGTCTGGGCGTGGCTGCAGATTTTGGTTGGGTACTACACTGGGCTGGGCAGGGATACACAGATGGGAGGAACCAGAAGGCCCAGGCTGTCTCCAGCAAGAAGTCAACGCTTCTGTGTAGCTCAGGCTGTGGCCAGGATGCAGAGCCCTGGGCCTGGGAACAGAGGGACAGCTGGGGCTGCTGTTCCCTCTGGGCCTCAGCTCCCCCCATTTCCCTTCTCTCAAGACACTGTCCAGTGGTTCAACCTCCAACACCAGCCAGGCTGGGGCAATGGAAATGACCCTTTGTTTTCTCTTCCCTTGAGTTTCGTTTCCTCTTTCTGATGGTTCCTCCTATTGGTTTTAAGTTTCAGTTACAATATCACTAATGTGAAAATATGTTTAACAGGAATGTAAATGTATAGCCTATATCAGATTGTGCGACATCTTGGGGAGGGTAGTGGGGAGGAAGGGGGAGAAAAATTTTAAACTCAAAAGCTTATGGAAGTGATTGTTGACAAATCAAAATAAATTAATAAAAACGATTAAAAAAAAAAACCAAAGGTTACCCCACTTAAGCCTCACACAACCTGGGGGGCCATTATTACCTCCATTTTACAGATGAGGAAACTGAGGCAGAACGCGGTGAAGCCATTTGCCCAGGGTCACTTGGCTACAAAGTGTCTGAGCCGGGCTCTGAAGTTCCTCAGGCTAAGGCACTGTCCACAGCACCTCCTCTACCACCGTGCAAAAGGCGCAGAAGGAGGGGGTGAGTGCCTGGGGATAGCATCCCTAAAGAGCCTGGAGGACAGCATGGGAGAGGAGAGACACCAGGGCCACATCCAAAGGAGAGAGAGCTAGGCAAGGCCTCTGGGGGTACCAGCCTCGGGGAAAGCCAGCGAGGCGGGTTCCATTTTGTAGCTGATTCTACCAGGTATCAATCCAATGTGGCATCAAGTCACCTGAGCCGGGCTCCATCTCTCTCTGAGCTAAGCTGTCTCACAGTCACCTGAAGTCCAAGAAAGAGTTGCCCACATCTTCCTGCCCACACAACGAGGGGAGCTCTGTTCTCTGCTGCTGAGCCCTGCCCCATGCAGGCGGGCGCCAGGAAGTCTGACCGGCTGCCCTGAGACGCTCTCTTGCCACACAGGTGGACGCCACCGCGAGCGGGCTTTGGCCACAAGACCAGAGTGGGGCTGCTGCCATCCAGCCAATCAGGCCGTCCTCCTCCTCCTCCTCCTCCTCATTGAGGGCACCTCAGCCTCTATGAGCAGGCAGGCCTCTACTTCCCCAAGCTCCAGGAGGGCTCGGAAGCCTTCCAGTCTTCTGACTGACCCTTTTTATTGGGAATTGCCAGCCTTACCATGTAGGAAGCACCATAATGCCGAGAGCTCCAGGCCTGGAGTCCTATTACTGAGTTCAAATTCAGTCTCAGACACTTCTAGCTGTGTGACCCTGGGCAAGTCACTTCACCCTGTTTGCCTCAGTTTCCTCATCTGTAAAATGAGCTGGAGAAGGAAATGGCAAACTGCTTCACTATCTCTGCCAAGGAAACCCCAAATGGGGTCACCAAGAGTCGGACGTGATTGAACAAGAAGAAAGCCTTACCAGTAAAATGAATGCGCTTCTTCTAGGGCTGTATCCCAAAGATATCACACAAATGGGAAAAAGACCCACATGTACAACAATATTCACAGCAGCTCTTTTTGTGGTGGCCAAGAATTGGAAAGTGAGGGGATGCCCATCAGCTGGGGAATGGCTGAGCAAGTCGTGGCATATGAATGTGATGGAATACTATTGTGCTATAAGAAATGATGAGCAGGCGGACTTCAGAAAAACCTGGAAAGACTTGTATGGTCTGATGCTGAGGGAAGTGAGCAGAACCAGGAGAACGTCGTACACAGTAACAACCACGACGTGTGACGACTAATGTTGACAGACTTAGCTCTTCCCAGCAATACAAGGATCTAAGACATCTCCAAAGGTCTCGTGATGGAAAATGCTAGCCACATAGAAGAAACAACTATGGAGTTTGAATGCAGATCGAAGCACACTATTTGCTATTTTTTTCTTCTGCTGTGTTTCATTTCCTCTTTCTGATGGTTCCTCCTATTGGTTCTAATTTTTACTTATAACATCACTAATGTGAAAATATGTTTAATAGGAATGTATATGTATAACCTATATCAGATTGTGCGCCATGTTGGGGAGGGTGTTGGGGAGGAAGGGGGAGAAAAATTTTAAACTCAAAAGCATATAGAAGGGATTGCTGATAAATCAAAATAAATTAATAAAAAAATGAAAAAAGATATAAAAAAAAGAATGCGCTTGGAACTTTGTGTCTCAGTTTACCTTAATTTCCATCACTACACAGGAGCCTTGAAGGCAGCTGGGGTTTCTCAGACACTAAGGTGAAGAGGAGGGGCACCCCAGGCCTGGAGGTGGGCGAGGACTTGCCCCTTTGAGGTTGGCTGGATTGGGATGTCCAGGAGAAGGCACTACGGGAAGTAATGTGAAGAGAGTATGGAAAAGGGAGGAGCCCTTTATTCAGATGCCAGGGGGAAGAGTTTCTATTTTATCCTAAGGCAACAGAGAGCCGAAGGGAATTTTACAGATGGGGTGCTCTAGGAACGTTCACTAGGCACTATGGAAGATAGGAGGGAGAGAGGGGCTTGAGGCAATTGGGAGATTATTTCAATAGCCCAGGCATGAGGCAGGTGATGAGGGACTGAGTGGAGAGAAGGGAAACACAGGAAGGACACTGAGGCACAAGTCACAGCCTGACTCTGAGGCGGGGGGTGTCCCCAAATAGGGACGTCTGGAGGGAGCCTGGGTGGTGGGGGGAAGTGCGTTCTACGTTAGAGATGTTGGATTGGAGCTGGCAGGAGACACCCCCAGGGAGCTGTCCAGCAGGTAGGTGCTGATGCAGGAGCGGAGCTCTCTGAGTCTTTGCCCTGGCCGTGGCCCCCGTGCCCTGGCAATGCCCTCCCTCTCAGCTTCCTTGGTTTTCTTCCAGACTCAGCTCAAATCCCACCTTCTGCAGGAGGCCTTTCCAGGTGCGGCTAGGACCTTCCCCCCAGATGACCTCCCACCTCTACAGATCTTGGATCTATCTAAGGTGTCTCCTTTTTAGAAGGTGAGCTCCCTGAAGGCAGGGGCTGTTTAACAAAGTCAGTGCTTAACAAAAGCTTGTTGACTGACTAAGCTTCAGAGGACATCCAGATGACCCAGCAGCGGTGTCCCAGAATTCATTCACTCAATCAACATTTATTAAACGCCTACTATGTGCCAAGCGCGCGGGGGGGGGGGGGGGGGGGGGGCCACAAAAAGAAGCCCCGGCTGTGAAGGAGACCACAAAGGAACCCCCTCCCCATCTCCGACTTCCTAGGGCCTTTTGCTGAATTTGCACGGAGAGCCGTGTAAAGCACCCCACCATCTTTGAACCTCAGTTTCTCCTCGGCTAAAAAAAGGGCAGCGTGCGCAGTGACCTCCAGGGTTCCAGGCCAGAGCTCTGAGAAGGGGGACGGCGAAGGGAGGGCTTCTCTGCCGCCCACTCCCCAACAGCCCGAGCACCCTTCCCAGGCCTTGAGATCTCGGGAATCGAGAACGTGACAGACCAGGGACGGGGTGTCGGGGCTGCGCGGGTAAGCACACGGATGGTCCAGGCCCCACTCCCTCGAACCAGGGCCGCAGGGAGGACTCGGTCTTCCCATCTGTAAAAGGGGCCCGCGTGGAGCTTGGACTCTGGGTCCCTGGGGGAGAAGCTGAGGGCATGACGTCACGAGGGAGGGCGGGGCGGTTGCCAAGGTGACCCTGAGGTCCGCTCCCGGCGGGGGCGGGGACTGGCGATGACGTCACAGGAAGGCGGGGCGGCGGGACGGGACTGGCGATGACGTCACAGGAGGGCGGGGCGGCGGGACGGGACTGGCGATGACGTCACAGGAGGGCGGGCGCAGCGGTCGCCACGCAACACCCGCGGCCTTCCCCTTTCCCGGCTCCGCTCCCCCGCTCACCTGGACGGGCTGTTCGTTGCTACTTCGGAGGCCGGGGCTGCGCGCGCATCGCTATCCCCGCCGCGGATCTGCGCAGGCGCAGACCGCCTCCCGGGCCTACGCCTTCGGGAATTCCCCGCGGGCTCCATTTCCCCAAGGTCTCGGCAGCGCCCGGCTTCCCACGGGCCGGCCGCTGGGCCATGTATACGGGGTCCGCCGGCTATCGCCTCCCGCGTCCCGGAGAGGCCCCGGTTGCGTAGCTAAGGAGAGGCGACGAGGAAAAACACCACGGCCTCTCAGAGCATGCGCCGCCTCGAACCGTCGCGTGCCGTCCGCCAATCAAAGGGGGCTCCTTGGCCACGCCGCACCCCCCCCCACCGTTTACGCCCTTTCTCTCTGCGCGTGCTCGTCTCCATAACAACCCGCGGCGTCTCCGCCCGGCGGCGCGTTAGAAACTTCTGGGAAATGTAGTCCAGAAGGAGGCCGCGACGCGCATGCCCAGTGAGGGCGCAGTATGCAGCCCGAGGAAGAAGATGGAGGGGAGCTTACCTTGCCTGTCTCTCTGCATTGGTTTTTAAACTTAGGAAGGACGTCATCCAGCAAATTCGTCCGGTGCAACTCTGGTCTCCTTCCCCTCTCCCATTTTACAGATGGGGAAACTGAGGCCCGGAGAGCAATGTGTCCGTTCTCTGTCTCCAGACCATCTCTGCTCCGTCACCGCCTCCAGCCCCGTGCAGGCCCTAAGCCCCTCTCCCCGGGCTAGGCCAGGGGCTGCGGGCCGCTCCGGCCTGTCCTCCCCAGAGCTGCCAGGGTGCAGCTGCTGATCCAAGTAGCACTTCCCTGAAGCTTCGAGGGTCGCAAAGTGCTAGTGAGATAGGGGCCGTGGCCACCCCCCCGTTTACAGTTAAAGAGCCTGAGGCAGACCGGGGTTAAGTGACTTGTCCAGGGTCACACATGTGTAAATGTCTGAGGCTGGATTTGAGCTCAGGTCTCTGCCTTCCTCCAGGACCCAGCTCAGGCGCTGCATCCTATTTGACATTCCTCTGCACTATGTGTGCGTGCCTGGATTTTGTATTTAGTCCTCTGTGTTCGAGTTCCGTCCCCAGCAGAATGGGAGTTTGGCGAGGGCAAAGGCTGCCTTGTTTCTGTCTTGTTATGGGAAACACTTGGCCCAGTGTCCGGGAGATGTCGAGTCTAAATGTTTTTTTAATCGGATTCCTCGTCGTACCAAGGTCACTGGAGTCACACCTAGAATGGAGAACCCAGAGACCGCTGGATCAAGCCCCGACTCGTCGTCTCCCCTTTCTCCGAGCCTCAGTTTCCCTCTCTGTAAAAGGAGGGCCTTCCTGACACCCAGAACACCTCATCCCGTCCCCCCCCACTCCTCTCACTGGAGTGCCGTCCGTCCCTCTCTGTGTCCCAGAGGCTGGGGCTTACCCCTTTACCCTCCCAACTAGGGATGGCGCACGCTTGGATTCCTAGCATCCTGAGCCCGGCTTATTCTGCCTCAGAGTCACAGTAGAAGGTCAGGGTTGGAAGGGACGTTGGCGGCCGTCAGTCCAAACTGTCCTTGACGGAGAAACATAGCGATGGTCATGCGGCCTCTGCTTGGAGGCCTCCAAGGAAGGAGGGCCACCAGCTCTAGGGACAGCCCGCTCCGCTCCTGGAAATTTTCCTCACTGGGCCTAGACTGGCTTCTTGGCCATCCCCCCATTGCCTGGGTCTGCCCCAGGAACCAGAGAGAACAAGGCTGACCCCAGACCCCCCCTCCAACAGGCCAGGCCTGCCCCCCAGGCTACCCAAGGCATTGAGGATGAGAAGCTGTTGCAGTCCTGTCTGCCCTTTAGCATGTGAGTGTCTGGAAAGTAGGGACGGTCTGACACCCTGTTATGTACCTTCGGCACTTAGCACTGTGCTTTTTTCATCCATGCACTCATCACTCATTCGTTCATTCAGTCATCACACATCCATTCATTCCCTCATTCATTCATTCATTCTCTCTCCCTCCACTGTCTCTCCAAGACTCTGCACGCCAGAGCACTAGATACACTTTTACCAAATAACTGAACATGTACTTGGGAAAAAAGCCCCGAGTTAGGGACTTGGAAGGCCTGGCTCACTCTGGGAACTTCAGGCATTTGTCACTTTCCGTCCCCGGGCCTCAGTTTCCTCCTCTGGGAAGAAAAAAAAAAAAGGTGAGGGGCTTTGACTAGATAGTCTTCTTTTTTTTTTTTTTTTTTTTTTGGTGAGGCAATCGGGGTTAAGTGACTTGCCTAGGGTCACACAGCTAGTAAGTATAATGGATCTGAGGTTGGCTTCACCTGGGTCCTCCTGACTCTAGGGCCGGTACTCCATCCACAGCACCACCTAATTGCCCCTTGGTAATCTTTGCAAGCCCTCCCAGCCTTGGTGTTTGATTCGCTCCAGCTCCTTGGAGCCTGAAAAGTTGAGGTCGAAGGCACGTAGGAGTTCTCTACCCAAGAACCAGCTGTGCGTATGAAAATCAGGGATCAGATCCCATCTTGGCCACCGCAGGGCTTTAGCCTTCTCTTTGGCAGGAGATGTGTGATGAGCCCACGCCCGGGAGCACCCCCTTCCCCAGGGAGTGAGGTGCCGGGAGACAATGATGGCAGAAGATTCGCTGGGTCTCACAGTGCCATGTGAGGCGCCACTGTTATTATGACTGTGGGGTTGGTATGTTAAATGATTTTTTTTTAAGGCAATTGGGGTTAAGTGACTTGCCCAGGGTCACACAGCTAGTAAGTGTCAAGTGTTTGGTCTGAGGCCAGATTTGAACTCAGGTCCTCCTGACTTCAGAGCCAGTACTGTATCCACTGTGCCACCTAGCTGCCCCGATTTTTTTTGTTTTATGTAAAATCCACCTTCTCACCGTGTCCCGACCTTTTCTCCAATTTAAAAAGAAAGGAAAACAACAGCCCTTGTAACAAATATGTATAGTCAAAACAAATTCACACATTGGCCATGTCCAAAAAAAAAGTCTCAATCCGCCCTCAGGGTCAGTTATGATTATGAGGTGAGGCTCCTTCCGGGGCAGCAAGGTGGTACAGTGGATAGAGCGTTGACCCTGGAGTCTGGAAGACCTGAGTTCAAATTCGGCCTTAGACACTCACTAGCTGTGTGACCCTGGATAAGTCACTTAACCCTGGTGGCCTCAGTTTCCTCATCTTTAAAATGAACTGGACAAGAAAATGGCAAGCCACTCTAGTATTTTTGCCAAGAAAACTCCAAAATGGGTCACGAAGAGTCAGACCCAACTGATATAACCAAACAACAGCAAAGTCCCCTCCCGGCTCTGACATCGAGAGACGTGTTGTGTGATTTGGCCCAGACGGGCCTTCTTGCTACCCTCACCGTGTCTTTGCACCTGCTGTGTCCCATGCCTGGTACACTGGGCCTCCTCCTCTCCGACTCTCAGAACCCCTCGTTTCCTTCGAGTACCACTTCTTGCAAGAGGCCTTTCCTGGCCCCCCCCAGCAGAGCAAGGGCACGACTTCCTGGGGAGCCAGGTCCCTGATGCCTGCGAGCAGATCCCCACTGTGTCCTGGGGACTTAGCTGAGGTCAGTTTCTTTCTCTGAGAGGCTAATCCCAGTCTTCCCCTTTTCCTTTTCTCTGTTGGCTCGGATCCCTCCCTCCTCCCATTTTCTTTCTGTTATTTTTTTTCTTTACCTTTTCCCCGTTTGCTTGGGTTGGGACAGCAATGTAGTAAGTATTAAGCCAACCATGGAAGCTTGCTCCTTGGTGCCTTTTGCTAACTCTTTCTGGCTGGACTTGGGCCCTCCAGCCCACAGCGCGGGGAGGCTTAGGCTCTCTCCAGGCTTCGAATTGGAGATTTGTGCCACGTGAGCTATTTTGAGACCGGTGTTGGGCACCGAGGGTGGCACACAGAAGGATGATGGAGCCTCCCCTGGATCCAGAGAGCCTTCCTGGACTGGGCATGTGGACTGATGTGAAGAAGGCACCCCAGCTGCTGTGCTGAGGACAGCAAACGTTTGATAGGGAAGAGGGCGGGGAGGTTGAATGATCCTAGAAGGGTCATCATAGGCATTGGGAGCAGAGATCTCCCCTTGAACTTTGGGGACTCTAAGGACGCGGTGACATCATTTGGGCCTTTCCAGATGAGGACCTTCCCGCTGGCTGCTTCTAGTCACGCGGTGGCCCGGTGCTGAAAGGACTTGTCGTTTCGGGAGGACTTATGGTCCTCCCCTGGCCCATGACGGCAGTTTGCTATTGGGGTCTCTCGACTGTGACTCTCCAGGGAGCAAGATATAACTCCGTGGAGGGGCAGAGAAGGACAGCATCCTTCCCTGCCCTGGGGTCATGGCAATCCTACCCACATGGCAGGTAGGGCAGGGAGCTGGAACTCAGCCGCCTTGCTCCTGGGTCCTTGCTAACTCCTGTCATGTTGTGTCTGCATCCCTTCAGTAGTGACCTCGTGAGTTTGGAATGTCAGCGGCCTCTGGGGCGGTTAGTGGTTGCAGAAGCTGCAAGAGAAGCTTCTTCATTGGAGGGGAGAGTCACCAAAAACGAGACCGAGTTTGAAAGGACAGTGCCCAGTTGAGATGAAATGCAAATTGCAACATTGCTTTGTGTTCTCCTGAGGCCTAATGTTAGGTTCCCGACCTGCCTGGTTGTCCCCATGGGCGAACCTGGAGTCGTCCTGGGCTCTTTCCTCTACGGCCTCTCCACACCCTTTTCAGCTGCAGTCTGAAGTCTATCCGTGTGACGTCTCTGACATCCATTCCATTCCCTCCACTTACACGGCCTTGACCTTTATTTGGGCCCTCATGATCAGTTGCCTGGACTATTACAGCAGCCTCCTAACGGAGATCCCTGCTTCCAATCCATTGTCCATACAGATGAGAAACTGATATTCTTTTTTTTAAAAATTTAATTAATTAATTTTGAATTATCCACAATCACTTCCATAAGCTTTTGAGTTTTAAATTTTTCTCCCCCTCCCTCCCCAAGTCAGTGCACAATCTGATACAGGCTATACATTTACATTCCTATTAAACATATTTTCACATTAGTGATGTTATAAGTAAGAATTAGAACCAATAGGAGGAACCACCAGAAAGAGGAAACAAAACACAACAGAAGAAAAAAAATAGCAAATAGTATGCTTCGATCTGCATTCAAACTCCATAGTTCTTTCTTTGGATGTGGAGAGCGTTTTCCATCATGAGACCTTTGGGAATGTCTTAGATCCTTGTATGGCTGAGAAGGGTTAAGTTTATCAAAATTAGTCATCACACAATGTGGCTGTTACTGTGTACAACATGCTTCTGGTTCTGCTAAC